GATTGGTCATGACCAGCAGATGACCCCTATTGATTTTGGGGTTAAGGGTTAAAGGTCAAGATCACATTGACCTTGTATGTAAAAACGGTTTCCGATCAATAACCAAAGAACCCTTAGGCCTAGGAACTTCAAACTTGGTATGGTGATTGGTCATGACCAGCAGATGACCTATTGATTTTGGGGTCAAGGGTCAAAGGTCAAGGTCACATTGACCTCTTGGGTAAAAACGGTTTACGATCAATTTACTAAAAACAATTAGGCTTAGGAACTTCAAACTTTGTACGATGATTGGTCATGACCAGTAGATGACCCCTATTGATTTTGGGGTCAAGGGGCCAATGTCATATTGACCTTGTACTTAATGACGGTTTCTGACCAATAACTCAACAACTCAAGTTGCCTTGGTTGATATTTTTATATAAAACTTAAAATGCTTTTGGTATACACATTTGAATGTCTCATGTAATATAACAACTTGGCTGTCATTAATGAGGCCTTCATGATTCATAAAATGTATGCATATATTATTTGGTAAGATTTGTAATAACTTAAATTGCTGCACACAAGCTATGGGGTCACAATAATTATTACCTTGTGACTAGTCATGACCAGTAGATACTAGATAACCCTTATTAATTGTTTGTTCACTGGGTCAGAAGTCATGCATAATAACCTGATCACATGACTAATTGGCTGCCAATAGGGGTATACATGATAGGGGGCATACATGTTTTACAAACATATCTTGTTATTTAAGATATAGTTTAGTTTTTTTGTCCAGCAAAATTCAATAATATCTTTAATTTAAACTCAGTGCTGCAGTTCAATATTTTATGAGCATATTAGCATTTTTATAATGTCCGTTGCTCACATGTATTTTGTGTAAAGCGGCGACATTAATAACAGTGAGTTAAGTATGATTATGACTAATGAATTATAGAAATAAAGAACAACATTTACATAATATAACTAATTACAGAATAAATACTGAAGTCGACCATATAAAAGAAAACCACACCAAAGCAAATGATGCATACGAAGTTGAGTTTGTAGTATTAAAATTAAGATGAAATGTACAAGTATATAAAAGTTCAGATTTAGAAATACCGGTACTTTTACCATAGGTGTACACAAAAATAGAGGGATAATTTAAAAGTAATTTATAAATATAATATGAGTGTTATAACAATTTTAGCGCAGTTCGCTGTCAGTTTCTTCACTTGTAATAGAGTTGGTAAGCGAACAGTATGGATCCTGATCAGACTGCGCGGATGCGCAGGCTGGTCTGGATCCATTCTGGTCGCAAAAGCACTACGTTGGTTTTGTCGTGACGTGGCTCATTTCAATTCCTTGTGTGTCTATAAATTCCATTCACAAAATTACATATTCGCATGTACAGAAAATTGTTTGACATCCCTGCTTAAGATCAAACAGTACTGATACTTGATATATATCACAAATGGACCAACGTGTATTACAATTTTAGAAATAATAACGTTTGTTTTATCAGTTGTATTTTATTTCATATATTTTGAATCATTTAGATAAGGCAAAGTGCAAAGACAAATTAAAAACAAACCCCAACTGCGTTGTTAAGACATTTTCAGAGACAAATATCTGTTTTTGAATAAAAAATATTGTGGGAAACAGTGTGTTGTTTTAATTCTAGTAATTTAAATAAAGAAGCAGTTTTTTACAATTTCTCATTTACTATTGTAATTGACAATACCACGATTCCTTGACGCATGCTTATTCATTGACAGAGAAACAGTATGGCTCGATATTTTAGAAAATGTTCAAAAATATTCAATTAAGGCAGCTTAAATCAAGATGTTGTTCTTGCTGCACAGTAAATGTGTGCTATACATTTAATTTTATTTAATTGGTAACTTTTCATTAATTTCTACTAAATTCCGTAATACATGTTTCTGTTTTTTTCAGTTGGAAAAATGTAACTTTTCTTCTGTCTTTTGTATTTCCTTGACCACTAATTACACGTATCTGATAACGTGTCGTTGACAATGTCATTTTGAAATTCAACTTATTGTATTATTTGCTAGTCATTTATGTGCATTGTACTTTGAATAGATTTTATATTTGTACACTGAAAGAAATCAGTGGATACATGCTCAAAATGGTTTGGTTTCGAAATATTATACAAGTCAACAATCATAGAATTAAGTCAATCTGAGTAGTATCTGCAATGATCTTTAGATACTACCTAAGCAATTATACGGAAGCAGTTGAATATGACACAGGGTTGATTTATATGAATCTGTAAACATAGAAAGTTTCATACATATACAGAAAATAACAATAGTTTTTTTATATCTTATTTTATATAAAAAAATGCAATAAATGTCATCACCGGCCTTTAAATTATTTTCGTCAATGCCATCCACATTAACAATAAAACCTTTTTTTTTCATGAAACTTGATTCATCATTAATATATTTATTCAGGATTTGCCTTAATTGGTATAAGTCACATCGTCCGTTAATTAAAGAAAGTGACATTATGCCCATCCAATGGTGTGTAGTGAGTACATTTCACTTTTCCATTATCCATTTCAATTTTATAATTTACTTCACATGAACAATTTCCAAAGGAAATTACTGTACATTTCCATCATAATTTAACTCTGACGTTTAATTTATAAAGAAAGGTCGGTCAGTCTTTCTATATTTAAAGCAGATTTATATTTTAGGCAAATTTTTCTTTCCAATATCAACTGTTGGTCAGTCATCATTATAACAGTCAACATTTTAAAATATATGTAGTCAATTAAGCTCAACTTGACAATGAAAAATGTGCATAATGTCATTCTTAAAGGCACAATATGCATGAAAAACAAATTAACTTTTCCTCCTTTAAAAAGAACAAAAATGAGTTCAGTATAATACTAATATATAATATAGTCAATTAATTGTCCAACAACATTGTCCTGACACTCTTGCATTTGACCCTGTTGTTGGTATATTCCGTACACATTACAATCTTCTTGTCAATCGATATGAATCTTAATATCCAATTAATAAAAGGGTGTAAATCAAAAATTCCTCTTAGCGCAGTTGGTAAAGGTATTTCACTTGAAGAATATAGACGTAAAACTGGTAGGTTCGAATCATGTTTCAGCGATTTATTTTTTTATTTTAATTTGAAAACTGCCACTCCCTTAAAACTATTGCAGACCTTTTTGTGTGTACTACCTATGTAGTATTTTAATAACCGTCTTTATAGTGTGTAAGCACTAAAGCATGTACGATGACATAATGTCGCAAAGAGAACCGTTGATAGAAACTGTAATGAAATAAAAAATAAAATTGTATATATATATATAACCATTTAAAGGGTTTCTAAAATCAGAAGTAGTAAAACGATTTTTAATTCATCACTGAAAGGAAAAATAATAACGTGGTGCTGGTAAGGAATCGGACCAGAGACTCCGATATCATTACCAATACACCGCACGTCACTGACGAGTGAAGTTAGCAAATATATCGATATTATTCGATAGATACTGGTCAGCGTGTATTCAAATGACCTTTACGAAAGTAAATGAAGTGCAAGGTCAATATTGTTGGACAATAACTTTTACATAAATGTTTATTAGGTATGTTAAATGTACTTCGTGGAAGTTCTTTTGCGATAAAAAGTAGTAAAATGTAAACAAAATACTTCCATACAAAATACTTAAATAACTAAAACAGTTACAGTAATAAATGTCAAAAAGCTACAGAAATAACACGTGGTTCTTAGAATTGGTAAATTAATTATGTTTTAGAAACTGTATAAGGGCATCAACAATTTAAAGCATTTAGACATGAAAATATAAACATGCCTGAAACATAATAATATATGTTTTTACGAATTGATTTAAGACTGCAATTAAAAATAAAAACTAATAATCAATTTAGGCCTATAATGTCGAACAAGATTCTGTTTACAATGATTTTACCAGCTGTGCTTTATGTCTTACCTTGGCATTAAACACATCGAGGTAATCAATCTTATATATGTAAGAACTTGATATAATACCGAGATAGCAAAACTGATCTTTTCTACGACCACAATCAACCTTTCACTTCTTAAGTTAAATTATAAATGTATATATGGACTTATCAAACATACCTTCTAATACGTACGGAAGTGAAAAACAAGTATAACACTGCTATTATACTTCTCAATAACCATTTACAGTATTTACTTTATATAAAGGAACTCCACTAAGGTAATTTGACATGACGGAACTGGACATAGTTTTTCGAGATGAATGTTTCATTTGATGTAGTCTAGATCAATAACTTGTGGACAAAATCTAAGATCATTCGCTTACTCCGGTTATTCAAAATAATTATTCTAATTATGCAGAATGACCCAAAATTGAAAAGCTTTGCAACGCGTTTTTACTAAAATAAGGACAAGAGTATCACAAAAGTACGATTTTCAATTTATTTCTTAATTATCTTTTGCACATGAATTTGCTGTTTAAGTACCTCAGCTGTTCCATGTAAGAAATTCAAAATGTGTGTTGTTAGACCTTTTTACCTCACTGGAATTCAATTCAGTTATAAGTATATAAATACTGAGGTCATTGCACTGTTTTTAGAATAAAGTATTCATAGAATATCAAGCAAAAATATTCATTTAAGTAGCGGAAGTTGATTGTCCTTATTCATTATGTCACATAAACATACGACACGCTCTAGGAAAGCTTTGACATTTGACGGTTAATTGAAATGTTTTTAATTACAAAGTTTAACAAAGTAGTGTTTTCAGGTAAACACAAATGATAAACGCTAATATACTTGATATGATAAACATACACTACGATCGCCTCTCAAATGAAATTTGACGTAATGTTTTAATTGCAATGCGAACTTCACGAACAGTTCAGTGAATGAAGTGTAACCTGTATGTGAAAGTAACGTGCTATTTATAGTATTTGTATTTTATGTTTATTGTATCTATAACGTTTATCCACTGTTTTATATTTACTTTTCAGGGGAACACTGTTTGATGTTACAGAAATCATCTTTGGATAACATCCGAATTTTTGTTGTATTTTCTACGAGGAACGTCAAAAAAGTTCATTAGTGTTTTTGTCCTTTAAATAAAACAATTTTAGAATATCAGCTTCGAATAGATGCAGCTGAATAGTGTTAAATAACTTAAAACGTATAGCAATACATTACAGAATGGATTATTCTCTGTGAAAACTGACAATTGTGGATTTTGTTTATCCAGTGAGAATTCTATTGATAAAACGTGTCCATGTTTATATTAATAGAAACAATATCCTGGGGCTACCGTCAGGTAAGTTCGGTGAACTAACATTTCTAAAATTGTTTATTTAATACAAATGACAATGAATTATTTTGTTTACAAATTTTAAGTTTGTATACAGATTGAATGTTAGAATTATTGCCGTAACACTTGCTAAATAAGATGAAAATCAGGTTTATAATTGGAGTGTTTTAAACATTTATTTTTCTATCAATGTCGATTAACTTTGGTTGATTATCTTTTATTTGTTTTGTACTGAGCATTGCTATCAGAATGGTTTAATTTATAGGTAAATGTGTGTCTTACGTTTAACTTAAACACATATCATTATAACTGTACCTGGATACAAAATCTCCCTGTTACCACTTATGAAGTTTTTCTGAATAAATATATTTATCTTTTTTGTGGATGGATGACAACAACACTAATTACTTCATGTTAACTTTCATATAAATTTATACAATATACACTCAAATATACTACAAGGCTATCGTACTAATGCCTTTTTAAGATAGACGCTGGCCAGAAAATAAATAAATCATTTTTAATAGTCAATATCAAATGCCGACTAATGAAACCTACTATCCAAACAAAGCCCTTCTTAGACGTGCAGACATGCACATTTTGTCTTTTATATTAGTAAAAAGTAGAGTTTTGCTTAAAGTGCGCATGTGTAAGCTGATTGTAGTAGCCCCGCCCTATTACAATGTGGCCATACCACGTGACTTTTCGGGTACGGAACACGCCGATTTTTCACCCGATTCAGGTATGTTTTTTATTCACAACTTATTTATTACTCAACCGATTTTGATCAGATAAGGCGCAGAGTACCCGTAATTATATCAGCTATCCACGGTATATCAAAATTCTGAAAACCCCTAAATGGTTTTTGAGAACATTCGAGTACAGTTTTCATTTCATAGCCTGGGCCGAGGGGAACGGTACACACTCATTTGGCATAACAAGCAATTTCTAGCAAGTCATATGTTTTTTAACACTATTTCATAGAAAAATACATGTTAAATCTGATATATTTACTATGTCCAATGTATCGAGTGAAATGAAGGTGATGTTTTAGCATATTTTCATTAAGTAATGTTGAAATGGTACGGAACACACTGTTATTTCAAAAGATACGGTACACACATAATTTCTGTCTTGGTAATAATTCTAAAATAAAATATATCAAAATTTAATTTAAATTATTATGTGAGTGATTTTTTTCATAGTTATACATTTTATTAATTTAAACGAGAACCCAGGGACCTGTTTTGCAATGTATCATAATGCTTACTTATGCTTTTTAATGTTTATATGTATTAGTGCAGCTATAGTTTCAAGAGATCACGCTTAACATTTACAACCTCCATGTAATTGTTCCCTATTTAAAAATCACCTAGGGTATGTTAAATACTTCGATCTTCACAAAATCAGTGAGTTGCGCTCTATAGAAAGAAAATGTTGTAATAAAATGCTATGTTTATTGTTTTGTTTATTGTTGTTTTTTTATTTATTTTAGTTTAAGTGAAGTAATATATGTCTTTTTGCTTCATCCTGAAAAAAATAAAACAAGGTCATGACCTAAATCGCTGAAAAGTATCATTACTTGATAACAATTTATATATATTTATATTTTTTTAATAATAAGCAAGTCATTAGGTACAATTTTGCAATATCAAGGTCATGTTTAAATTAAATCAAATCACAGAAGGCGCTGAATTTGTTTGGGTCTCAGAATGTCAGAAAGGTGAAGGCTGTGAGATTGTAAACCAATTTGTTTTTGTATAGTGCCACCAATAATGCTTTTCAAGTAACATAACTGTAGTAAATTGGCTATAAGGCTTATTGCAACACTGATATGTAATTTCATATGTTTATTTGGCTTAAACAATTAAAAACAAAGACAAAAAAAAACATGAGTTTCCTTAACTTGGATTTGAACTCAGGACATCTCTCTTCCTAAACGAGCGTGTAACCCTTCGACCAACGGGGAAGTTATAAGATAACAGCCTGAAGAAAACCATATCATTCTAAATTAGGGTTTGTAACCCTTATTAATTTCGTTTGACACTGATGTAAATAATCATGGAGCTTAATATCACATGTATATCTGTAAAGAATTATACAATATTTTGAAATATTTGACCAATTTGGGAACTACTTTTTCTTCTCCCGAGAAGGCTTGAAAATTAATGCGCCCGTCAACACAGTGACCCCCCCCCTTTATTTTTTTTCAGCGTAAGAGTACATATAAAGGTAAGTAACCGCTTCCAGGGGTTCGGACTACTTTCTTATTTTGCAAATAAGCATATCAGAGCCTGAAATTTCGCTACCATTATTTGTTTGGTCTGACGACCCAAACAAATAAAAATGTAGTCGCCATTGCTTAAAATTTTTAATGTTTAAAGGCATGAAAGCTTTAAAGATAACTTTTAATTCATGTAATTAGGTCAGTTTTGGTTTGGTTTCATGGCTCATTATACTGAATTATCATGTGGCGACTTTCGAGTTTTTACAAGTGCCCCTTTGGGTATAAATAAAGGAACGAACGGGCACCTGAGTAAAACGACCTACATTCTTCTTCTGTAGTAAGAAAACTTTCTCGCATGAAATATCGAAACATCGAAGTCACTTGTGGTCTCGTACGTTACTTCATGTAGTATATAAAACAGAATGCAGCCTCCAAAATCCATAGCATTTGATTGACAAAATGGGTATTATTAAAATATCATTTTTATTTTTAACACAAACACGCAAGCACACATATCCATGAACTCGAGTGTTAAAATGCATCTTGAATGAAAGTCCAAGATAGGCATAATTTTACCAAATTTCCTAACATGTATATCCTTACATGTATATGTAACAAGGTTTACCTTGTATAAAACTACGTTACGTTATATAACAGGCCTTGTTCCCGTTCTTCAAATGATCAAATTATTTAATTTTTGATTGCACGTAAAACTGCGAAATATTTGTCCATATGTAGATAATTTGATAATTTAAGATACATGCAGTTAGTTTGGGACCCTGGCAGATGATTCATGACCAAATATCATGTGGCCGAAAAAAAATTTAAAACTTTCCGTGATTTAAAAAAGATCCACTTACATCAAAACCAACGTTTTTTCTCCAAATTCGATTATTTAAACGACACATTTTGCAAGGAACATATATTTCCAACTTACTCTTAACTTCTTGTTTGTTTATATATTCATACTATGTTTAGACAGTCATTTATATATTCGAAACAAACAAATTAAATGAAATAATAATTGCACATAACAGATGTCCTTGAATTTCACAATTCGTTTTATAATCCAAAAGAATATACCCTAATTTTTTCAAATGAAAATCAAAAAAAAACAAAATTTTGAATGTCTTCCGTATCCCTCCCTAAAATTTTAAAACATTTTTATAGCCAAATATTAATTGCTCAACATATAAAATCGAATTTTGCGGCAACGTACTCTTAAAATGTTCTTTTATTTTTTTAATAATCCTGTTTACATCAAAACTGTAGGCATAATGATACTTTGCAAAACAGGTCCCAGGGTTCTCGTTTAAATAATAAAATGTATAACTATGAAAAAAATCACTCACATTATAGTTTTAAATTAATTTTTTTTATATATTTTATTTTAGAATTTTTTCAAAGACAGAAATTGTGTGTGTACCGTATCTTTTGAAATAACAGTGTGTTCCGTACCATTTCAACATAGCTTTATGAAAATATGCTAAAACATCACTTCATTCACTCGATACATTGGACATAGTAAATATATCAGATTTAACATGTATTTTTCTATGAAAAATAGTGTTAAAAAAACATATGACTTGCTAGAAATTGCTTGTTATGCCAAATGAGTGTGTACCGTTCCCCTCGGCCCAGGCTATGAAAAGAAAAACTGTACTCGAATGTTCTCAAAAACCATTCAGAGGTTTTCAGAATTTTGATATACCGTGGATAACTGATATAATTACGGGTACTCTGCGCCTTATTTGATCAAAATCGGTTGAGTAATAAATAAGTTGTGAATAAAAAACATACCTGAATCGGGTGAAAATCGGCGTGTTCCGTACCCGAAAAGTCACGTGGTATGGCCACATTGTATTAGGACAATGTGACATTGATAAAATTCTGAGCGAGAACTAGGTCAACGTTTCTTCATACAATCAATCAAAAATTACCGCTTTTTATGGCGTTGGTTGTTTGTTTATAATTCCATCGATAAAACAAAGACAAATCCAAACATTTTGAACCACAACTGTTGATGATTGTCGATAGAAATTTATCAATTAATGCACATACTAGTAGTTAGGCGCATGGAGGGTAAAGTTTAACTCCTCTTTTACATTCGTTTGGGGTTATCTTAATATATTTATCATGGAATTGTCCTCAGTCCCTCAGTGACAAATCATACACTGTAGGGCTTAGGATGTTACAAAATTTCGGAAAATTGCAACATTGGAGAAATTCAGCGGCACACGATGTATAATGTGCACTCTGTCATCAGACTTACCGTTACCATTTATATAACTGATTAATGAAATGTGCTTCTTAAGTCCACCCATTGTATTGTAAAGAACTTTCTATAGGCTGGAGGCGATCCAGCGGGGTCAGATTGTTGTTAAACACTAAGTAAGTTAGTTCTTTTAAGTGAACTTTAAACAATTAGGAATGAACCGTTGATTCCTACCGGTCGCTTCCTTGGGGTTTCTTAATTGTTACAATGTCATTTAATAAACACTTACAAATACAAACAGCTCAAAAGGAGGACGTTTTGAACACTGTCATTGCTTAATTCGTATAACTGTCGAACTATTTAGTCGTAGAACTACTTTACGTAGAGACACAACATTGATATGAATGGTTAAATAAACTACATTTTGTATAATTAGGACAGTGTATACCAAATTGACCGTGAGAGAAACTTTCAAGCAAAAGAAAAAATTTAGGCAAAAGGCTTACACATACTTTAACTTATTTAAAGCGATTAAACTTTACAGAATTCATGACAAAAACACTG